TTATCGGAGAATTATTAGAGAAGTAAAAAATTAACAAATTTTGGGACGTATTGCAAGAGCATCATATTATCCTACATAACAAAAATGTCCGAAATATATCATAGGGATATCCTAAAGATATCTCGATAGAGATTATATTTTGAACTATCACGACATGTTATACCACAAATATATAGACAGTAAGATATAAGCGACGAAATGCAATTGTAACATTTCAAGCAGAAGTTTACCTTCTGATTGTGGACAACATAAGAAAATATGCCGACACGTAGCAATCCTCATTTTCATGAATTAATAACAATTATTTTTCTCCTAATAAACCATGAAGAGACTTTACGACTGGTTCTATAGTTTATCGTAATATCTTTTACATTATCTATAAGAATTTTCTTTAATAATAGATATCACTTTGTAAACGATTCGACACTCTCGTATACGATGATAATATCATTATAATAACGTCATTGTACACGTTGTACGAGATAGATTGTTTCGAGATACCTAATTATAAATATTTTTAATAAAGAATAAATTTAATTGCAGTTATGTTTTTTCTCCTACCTAAATAGTAAATTTTCTTTCAGTCCAATTTTTTAGTAAATCAATTCAAGTTATTCCGATTCAAGGTCGATTAAAATATCAATTTTTTCTAAAAGATCGTCCATCATTAGTGTGCATACATCGCCATCCCACTAGATGGCACTACACATGCGTAACATATCCGTGAACCTGGACTTTTCACTGCGGTGCGTTAAACAAAAAAATGCTCGCAATGTGCGACACGAGACACGGGGCATAGGATGCGGAATCCGTATTTTTATTTATTATAAATTTATAAAGGCTTAATTGCAAAATCCGGCTTTGTACAAATTTAAATGTATCCACAAGAAAGACTTCAAAAATAGTTCGACGAGCAAATATGATTTCTTCCAGTCAATATAATATTGAGTGCATAAGTGTAACAGAAGAGTGTAACAGAAAATGTAGTCTAGTGGCACTTCGATACATTTGATCTTTAACGGTAAAATATATACTGGAAGAATATTTGGGCTATACTGGAAGAACCATTGGGCCTTGAAAAGTTGAATCAACAGAAAGACCAACTTTAGGGTATCCTATCTTAGTACGTATGTGCGTCACTTTCTTTAGAAAGAGATAGGTATAAATATGTAGATAGGTGAGTAAGAGATAAGTAATTGCAAACTTCTTTTGTCTCACGCACGTTTTTCGTTCACTGGTATTATATGACAATATATCTTTTAGTATACCTATACTTTCACTTTTAGCTCCTGCTAGGCCTTAAAGAAAGAAATTTTAATTGATTGCCTGTACGGTGCTTCGAAGCATATCGCGCCATCTAGTCACAAAATAGTTTTGGTCATGTGACCATGTGACCTATCCTTTATATGTAGCCAGTCAAAACCGTCGCTTCGTCTGTGAACATTCGACATCAAACAGTGAGAGCATTCAGAAACTCTACTTCCTAGTCAGTCGTACAAAGACTCCAGCACAGAATATACCAAGAAAGTTCTACGTGTATTGCACATACTTATCGTAAGAATATGATTGGCCTGTACGGTGCTTCGAAATATATCGCGCCATCTAGACACAAAATAGTTTTGGTCATGTGACCTATCCTTCACTCAAAACCATCGCTTCGTCTGTGAATATTGATATTTAACATTCAAACGGTGAGAGCGTTCGGAAACACTACTTCCTAGTCAGTCGTACAAAGATTCCAGCACAGGGTGTACCGGGAAAGTTCTACACGTATATTGCACATACTCATCGTAAGTAATATAATACATTTTTTTCTTCTTACTCATTATTAAAATATTTGTATGTCCCTTTCTCTATCATAAGAGTGAACATATTTAACATTATTGATAAAAATATTTATTTGTCGTGAAAAATGAATGTGTTTAAGTGGAATAAATTATCGTTAAAGTAAAAAAACATTATTGTTTAGTTAAGTTCCTACGTATGTTTTTCGCCTCGGAATTCATTAATTTATTATATTATATATTTTTACTTTGGTTATTTCATAAGTATACATATTTCTGTTATACAGAGTGTCCGACGCAACTCGTATATTCGCCGTTCTTACAAATAGAATTCAGCGAAATTCTATTAGAACTCACCTCGAATTCAACGAAAAAATTCGATATCACTTGCAAAGAGTACTGCACTTACGAGGATGGCTCACGGCGTGATAGATACAAATCTGGAACTATATGCGAAACCAAAGGAGCGAAAAAATATGTTACGTGTATCAGAAAACCTGCTGCCGTATCGTGCACCAAGAACGCCTGATTATTACAATCACTTTTTCTGTCCGAACTTGTGTCACGTTTGCAAGAAGGAAGATAATGGCAATATGATAACATGTGATCAGTGCTACATGATATTGTACTGCGACATCGAGCATAAAATGTTGCACTATCCAGAGCATATGGAGTTCTGTGAAGCCATAAAGAGACATTTAGGAAAGGATGCGCAATGGCGTTCTCGTCGTTTCAATCGCGACGAATGGATCCAGTCGAGAAAAATATTTCTCCATTCCGTCCAGCAACAAATACCGTGTGAATTGAAGCCGTACGAACAACAAATGATACTGTTCGCAAAATCGTGCCTTATTTGCCATCAACAGGCCAACCTGCAAACCTGCCGACGGTGCTATTCTCACAACTATTGCGTTGATCATGCAGCAGAATTTGCATATCGTCACAAAGAGAAATGCGAAAATTTGATGATATGTGTCAATCTGGATATCGGATATTTCGATAATAATTCAATTATGCAGAGTTTCATAAGCACCCTTAATGAGGAAATCCACGACGAAAATATTTTTATTAACCATTTTGGCGATTTTGCTACTTTATTTAAGCTTGATGTTTGTTTCCACACCAAGGAATGGTTATTTGACGATTATATTTACTCCGACTTTTTATCAGGAGTATTATCATTGTTTCATGCGATGGAGGAGGCCGAAATAATTGAATGCAATAGAGGCGAATATGATCTTCGTTGCAACTATATACATGACGCTAATAATACAAATGACGCTGATATATGGCATATATTTGACAATAATATAAATGACGCTGATATATATGACAATAATGCAAATGACGATTATGAAATGACAGAAGCCATGAAGGACACTCTTGTTTTTCATGTAATAACCGGAACTAATGTGGATAAGCAATATTTGCCAACTTGGGAAATTTTCATACATATGATGCGATCCCTAAGTCACATTATAATTGTACTGATAGGACCAGACATAGCGAACGAACGCAACAATATCGAAACCTGCATATTGTGCAAGAAATATGGGAACACGATATCCTATGAAGGTCATTGTACGTTATATCACAATTATGTGAACAGTGAATTTTATAAGCGACCGGACATAATTATAGGATTTCAAGCTGAACTTTATCATGAAAGCATAGGACCGAAATTTCTAATGGCCGTATATAATCAATGCTGTCCATTAGTTTTAACCACTACGTCAGTATATAAAATGGAACAGAACAAAAGGAAGATACACGAATATCTTAGTTCAGAAGTTGTTGAATTATCTGGAAAGTATATCTTAAATAAGTTCTCTTCTCATAGACCATGGAGAGACTTTGAGACTGACAATGTATATTATCGTAATAGCTATATAATGGTATATAGACATCTAAATAATTCTATTTTTTAATTTAATGTTATCTTAATATCGTCATTGTGAGACTTTGAGACTGACAATGTATATTATCGTAATAGTTATGTAATGGTATTATAAACATCTAAATGATTCTATCATTTAATTTAATGTTATCTTAATATCGTCATTATAATCTCATTATACAAGATAAGCTTATATCTTATATTTTAATATAATATCTTAATATAAACTATAATATCTTAAAATAAACTATGAATACCTGAAAGATATATTTCATTGCAGTTATGTTTCTTCTTTGCCCAAATAATACTGTCCACAATAAAAAAAATATTAAACATATAAAAACCTCTTAAAATAGTAGAAGTAATTTTATTGTAAAATATAAAAAATTTAAATATATACATTTAACATGACACACACACACTTATGAGAAATATCCGCAGATGTTTTGATTCTTACGGATTGCATTAATATTTATTTATCTATGTAATTTGCATATGTATTTGCATATGTATTAATAGTATAATTATTAAAGAAGCATACAGTTAATATTTATAAAAAAATTCCAAAATCATTGTACAGTACTTTAATAACATATTCTGAAAATTAATCGGCGTGAATCATCCTAATATAGAGATATTGTAGTTTTAATATTTTTAATATTTTCCGAATTTTGAACCAATGAAAAATGCTGTCTTTAAACTGTCTTAAACTGAACTTCAAAAAGCCGAAAAGTGACAAAATTATATTCATATGCATACGCATATTTCTACAGAACATTACGATCATTATTCAGTCATCAAATTAAATTTCATTATCGCGCCATATTAAATATCATTATTTGCCCCATATACGGTAAAAGCATTAATTATCAACGTTAATTAAGAACCGCGATATTATGCTACGAGAAGGTACCCGAATCAAGACCGTCCAACTTGACAGCTGTCAGATCTCGCGTACGTAACATATCTTTAAACGACGTCCAGATGAAATCCAGAAAATACGAAATTCAAAGACCGAACATAATGACGGCCCGTCAACCGCCAGTCTGTCTGTCAGTCTGTCAAACCTCGTTAAGGCTCCAGGTAAAAGAAGCAGAAGCGACAGAGCCGCGTCTGCGGAGGCAGCTCTTACTATCCGGTAGCGATTGCTTCTTGTCCTTTTTGCGTTATTAAAAATAATGGTGACATATATTAGTTTTAACGAAGGAAGCCGCCGGTTTTTGCCACCGTCTTTATGCGCCCGGTCATTTGTTTCCAGCGAAATAAGCGTTGCACGCCGAAACAATGGATGCTCGCCTTTTACCCGGTGGACATTGGGGAGAAAGGATAGGATAGCAAGCGGGAGGAGGGAAAAAGGAACCAAGACGCGCAGGAACGCGCGCATGGAGGAACAAAGAGGGAACTAGGGCGAGCGGGAGAGCAGCCAGTCGGGAAGTGGACACTCGCCCCTTTCATGGACGCAAAATCATCGTCCGAGAATTCCATGTCGTAATTTTAATTTAAAATTACCCAATTCTCCAAAGCGCCCACACCCGGCCGGACGAGCTTTCCCGCTGAAAGTCGAGCACGAAAACGAGACACACCGAAAGTACCCGATATCGACGTCTAAGCGATCCTTCCGGATGGAAAACTAGTTATGTAAGCCTGAAGTTTTATGATATTATCTGAATGAAATCGACATATTGAAAAATTGCGCGGAAAAAACAATTCCGTTAAAACTCTTGGACCGTCGTTGCAATTGTCCTTGATTGGTGACGTGAAGAGCGAGAAAATGCCGAGAATTTTTTGCGTTATATGTTAGCATACTTACAAAATTGTCCGAACATTTTTCTTTCATCCGAATAATCAATAAATAATCGCAAAATTAACTTGACATGAAACCTTTCTTTTTAATCTCTTTTTTTCATGATTTTGTCAATATTAATTTTACGGCTATTTACTGATTGAGTTGCAGCAAGAGAAAATTTTTATTTTGTACAAAAAAACCTTTTGCACGGCAATGTACGTAAGGCCTAAAGATTCTATGTAATATCGAGAGAAAAATTACGCGCACGTCAGCGATTATTGCTCTGCAAAATTGATCAAATACGCCTTGAAAAAAACTTGCGTCTTGGCCTCCTTAAAAATACACTTTCAAGACCATCGGTGTCCGATAAGGCGCGCGATACGCTGAGAGCTGATAAAACGAAGAGCCATGTGTGGTAATTGTCTCATCATCTCGCGGAAAAAGGGCCCACTCAAGCGGTATCATTACACGCGCCTCACGTAATGCAAGATCATCGTATATTAATCTCCTACTCGCTCCCCGTTCAGTGTGAAATTGTTGCGGACAGTTGCGCGCGATTTTATTTCAAGGATCTTTCATTTGGTTAATACAGCCGCGTGTAACGGGTATGATTTATAAATGAATTCCTCGTGACGCGTCGATACCGCTTTTAACGCTCCGTCCGCCGATTCTTCGGCGAGAGAGAGAGAGAGAGAGAGAGAGAGAACGTGGCCGTGCATAGCGGTAGAAAGTCAAGAGTCAGCGATTTAAATTACTTCGCGTAACAGCGCGGCACCAGCAAAAAAGTTAATTATCGGTTAACGCCGGTAGCGTAATTGTCGTGCTAAAACGCAAAAACTGCAAGCGCGATGAAAATATATTTCTTATAATATCTGTTTATATTGCCTTCTCGCGTGCCTTTTCTCCTCGACAAATAGAGACTCCGCTTTCTGCTAACTATATGCAGCGTAGTATTTTTGTACACCGTCGGACACACAATGTAAATTCATTCCAGACGTATTCAGCAACCGTAGAATGAAAGTTTGAGAACAAAAAGGGTTTCTCCCGGCTTTCCGGACTGTCGTGCCGAAAGGGTTAAAACTGTCTTCCAAGGTATTCTTGAACGTCCTACCATTTATACCAGCACATTGTCCAACGAGATTTCCCTCACGCTTATCCCAAAGAGTTAAAACGACAAGTGCCTTACGGTTATAATAGAAATATGCACGAACTTATGTATGTTTAATAGTCGTAGCACGTTTGTCACAATTTTCGCTGTTCATTTTTTCCGATGTCTCCGAAGTTTCCCATATCACGAGAATCACGAGAATAATAAGCCCTAGGAAACGCAATAATGATGAATGACTACCTAGAGGCCGCATGAGCCTACAAAGAGAACCGAAGCTCTCGCATTTTTATCCTTTTGCTACCACAGCTACCATTAGGCTTTCCAGACAAAAAGAAAGGATAGGATAGGAAGACTATTAAGAAAACTATGAAAACAGGCATATATTTATCAACCGAGCTGTCGCTAAAATGCGCGATTAATGATCTTCGATACAATGGAGAAACAGGTCCAAAAGGTTTAGAAACTCCCAAAATTCCCCGGGTTCTCCGTTTTAACATAATAAAACGGCGAGGTAGTCGCGAAGTAGTCGTAAAATACAATACATAAAATGCGGAGGAAAGAATGTTATTTGAAATATGCTGTCCTTTGGCGATACGCATCCTTTACCATTAATTGCGAACGCACAAAAAATCATACAGAAATAGCTAAAAATAACATAACCCACAACAATATCTTGTTAGACATGCTTTCTCGCATAGTTTGGAAGTCGAAACAACTCGAAGGAGATTTGATAAAATTCCTGAGAGCTGTATGAAAAAATATTTGAAACTGTAGCTTGTAATATTTGATGTTTACAACTGTCCCGAGTCGAAATTTTTCTGTTTCTTCGAATGCTGTTAAGGATAGTTTGCGCCTACTTAGATGACCTATAAACTAATAAAAATCTATTTTGACGATACCAACAATACTATTAGAACAAAATAGTGCTTTCCTACATTTACTAATTTGTTCTCGCAGCAAGATAATCCAGCGTATGGCAATTAATAAGTACCCTTAACAAATCATTTTCCTGTCCACACAGTAACTGAGAGATTTTGCTGGGACGGCATAAAATTTGTCGCGGCAACAAATTATTCCGCTCCATGTGTGAGCAAAGGCACCACTCGCCGTTTCTTCCCCCTTCCTCTCGCTTTATCGATCGAGCGGGCGATAATCCCGCGGGATGAAATCGCCGTGCAGAATGTACTCGCGATTATCGCATCGGCGAGACACCCACCGTGCGTCAATTCCCTTTCGAATGTCGCGAGGTCTCCTTGAGTGAAATTAACGAGGCAATTCTACGCACTCGCGCTGTGCGATATAAATCGCAATTTAATCTGCGCTTAAAGCATGATTAATGATGATCGTATCGTAGATCAACGCGCCGTCCCGCGGGCCCCGATAAATAACGTTTTCCAACGATAACCTCACGAACAGCGGAGTCAAACCGCCACGACACGGAGTGACTCTCTATAAAAGGTCACGCGCCATTAATTATGCGCTCGGTTGATTTGCGAACGGCGAATGAGCCTCTCTTTGCCGAGCGGCCGATGCGGCAATTGCTGAATTATTTTAATGTCTCCCGGTCGTTCCTTAAATCACACCGCGAGCGAGGAATTTCACGATCCGCGAGATCCGCGAACGTTTAGGGGAGAAACCTCGACGACACGAAGATTTACCGTGAGGATCCCAAAAAGGCCGTAAAGAGATCCGTCTCGCCCGGCTTTGAACGTGCGCGCGCAAAAAATCCCGATCTACCGAACGATCGAATCGAATCTCGAGAGGCGAACTTCTCCCGCCCTTTTTTCCCTTCTTTTCTTCCGACCGGCCGAAACAATCGCGAGCAACAAACGCGATTATTCATTTCGCGTCGGACGCGAGCGGAACGACATTAACCCGCCGACGACGGGAAGGATGCGATATCCTCTTTTTTTGAGGGGGTTTTGTCGCGACCGCGCCGTTTTTCACGCGCGCTCCTACATCCAGAGATCTGCGAAATCACCGTCATAAATCTCGCCAGGCCGCGGTTTCCGGCGGAATTTATTAATGCAAATCAGACGCTCGTATAACGCTCGAACGGGAATGATGTTGATTGACGACGATCGGCGACGAGCGATTTGTCAGTTTTTCATCGGACGCGCCGTCGTTATCATCCGAC